GGGTGGCACTGTGATATATGGGCGGCACTGTGATATATGGGTGGCACTGTGATATATGGGTGGCACTGTGATATATGGGCGGCACTATGATATATGGGTGGCACTGTGATATATAAGGGGGCACTGTGATATATGGGTGGCACTGTGATATATGGGTGGCACTGTGATATATGGGTGGCACTGTGATATATGGGTGGCACTGTGATATATGGGTGGCACTGTGATATATGGGTGGCACTGTGATATATGGGTGGCACTGTGATATATGGGCGGCACTGTGATATATGGGTGGCACTGTGATATATGGGTGGCACTGTGATATATGGGTGGCACTGTGATATATGGGTGGCACTGTGATATATGGGTGGCACTGTGATATATGGGTGGCACTGACCGGATGTGGGACTAATGGTCTCGTAATTATAAGAAGTGGTAAATACACGTGAGATTTGACCAGGTTGGTGATGGCCAAGATAATCTGTGTACACAAGATGATCAGGATGCCATACAATATTATCCAGGGGTAAAGTGGGCTAAAATATGGCGGGAACGGTGGCGGGACGTGACGGCGCCCTCACGGGGATGGCGCGGAGTTGACGCCCTCTAGCGCCCGCTGGCGCCACACTCACACGCTGGGGTGGCAGCCATTGTCCCCCTGGCCCCCCACAATGTTCAAGACCAACGCCACTTGAACGCCAAATCAATGTCATCAACGTTGATGATGTTGTTTCAGCGTGTAGCCAACGCCACTCCTGCATGTTGTACCCGTGTGTTGATGGTAATGTGATCTTGGACGTGCTTCACAACTCCACAATGCGCATATAATCTTTGAATGTTGAATATACTGTATATTCACGGCGGCACGTGTAATGGAAGTGCCTCTTGCGAGACCTGGCATCTACACTGATGACGTCAGTAGAGTTTTGTTAATTCTCAGAATTTGTGTATGTCGTTAATGTGTATAATAAGTCACAACTTGTTAAGGCCTATTAATTCTCAGAACTTGTGTAAGTGTAGGTGTTGACAGTCTCCCTCGCCACTCAAGGCTCTGTACCGTGGCTACTCTTCTGGGGCAGCATTCATCAAGCACTTAAGTTTCCACTTACGAACAAATCTACAAGGGCTGTGACGAGGGTTCGAACCTACGTCCGAGAACATCCCAGACGCTGCCTTAATCGACTGCGCTACGACATGGTTAAAAGAGTTGCAACCAGAAGTTCTACTGCCCTTACTTGGACCCTGCAGCCTCTCCGAGAGATAAACCAGGATTTTATGCAATTCCTCCATGTTTCCACTTACGAGCTGTGTACATCTCTCCTGGATCATGGCGGCTTAGTCTGTATTTACTAAACAATTTACGACTTTGGAAACGCTGCGAGGACGTACGCGTCTCTGCCCCAGGTTGTTATTATGGACGACCTCGCAACACAGGACAAACAGGACAGGACAAACATATCAATTGTGACACTAGCTCTCCACACATGTCAGTTGCTTAATATAGAAACTGTACTTGTGGTCGGTCTCGAGCCCATTGATGATGTGACGATGTGTATTGAATTTTGTAACTAGCTCATCAAGATTGTAACTTAAATTGCTTAGCTAAATGAATTGTGGGATTCAGTCCCTGAGCCCATTATGTGCCTCTGCAACCCTTTCCACTACCGCCCACAAGATGGGTATGGGGTGCATAATAAACCACCCGTCCTCGACTCAAGTCCATTACATCCAGCGGTCAACCCCACAGACGCATTAATAAATTTTAATATGCTGTTCATTCAAAATGGGAATTTTCTCAAGTATAAATTAATATTATAATATATTAGCATATTGTGCATATATAGGCATAGGTTAGGTTAGGTGTTTAGGTTCTGTTGGCGATTATTTGTATTTGTAGTACGTGGGTGAAGCATTTATAGCGTTATGATTCGAACAAAATTCGTCAGTGAAACACTTGTTCCGGATATGTTCGAACGTCAGCAGTTGTGAGTCGTGTGTAAACCGTTTTTCATTCATAAACAGGGGGTTTGGCGGGTGCATGGAATCACTTTTGGATCTTTGGAGGACGGGCTGTAATAAATGAACTAAACTAACTGGCTGCTCGTAGCTAGACTCAAATATCCAATCCGTCCTCGACTCAAGTCCATTACGTCCAGCGGTCGGCCCCACAGACGCATTCATAAATTTGTACATGTTGTTCATTCAAAAGAGGAATTTTCTCAAATATAAATTAATAGTATGAGATATTAGCATATTGTGCAGATATAGGCATAGGTTAGGTTAAGTTAGGTGTTTAAGTTCTGTTGGCGATTATTTGTATTTGTAGTACGTGGGTGAAGCATTTACAGCGTTGTGGTTCGAACAAAATTCGTCAGTGAAGCACTTGTTCCGGAAGTGTTCGAACGAAATCAGTTGTGAGTCGCACAGCCCGTCCTCCAAACAGTGACCCAAAAGTGATTCCATGCACCCGCCAAACCCCTCGTTTATGAATGAAAAGCGGTTTACACACCACTCACAACTGATGACGTCCGAACAGTTGCTAGGAAAAGCAACAGTGGGAGGTATAAGTGGCGGCAGTGATTTACAATCCTCCACCTAACAGCAGAAAGGCAAAGGAAGAATATGACAACTTCACGAGACATGCCTCAAGGAACTGTAGAAAAGCAGCAACAGTGACAGTGTGAGCGAGGTCTGTCATTCTGATACTTGGGAATTTTAATCATAGGTAAATAAACTGGACAGTGAAGGACTCCCACAAGGAAAGATGTGACATGGCGACCAAGGTTGGTTATCTTGAGGTTATCTTGAGATGATTTCGGGGCTTTTTTAGTGTCCCCGCGGCCCGGTCCTCGACCAGGCCTCCACCCCCAGGAAGCAGCCCGTGACAGCTGACTAAGACCCAGGTACCTATTTTACTGCTAGGTAACAGGGGCATAGGGTGAAAGAAACTCTTCCCATTGTTTCTCGCCGGCGCCTGGGATCGAACCCAGGACCACAGGATCACAAGTCCAGCGTGCTGTCCGCTCGGCCGACCGGCTCTTGGTTGACGCAGCAGACAAACACTTCTTGCAGCAGCACATTACACAACCAGCAAGAGTAAGGAGAGAGGAGCCACCAGCAACATAGACCTGGTGTTTACCCAAAATGAGGCGGATGACGAGAAGTTAAGAGTATGAGCTGCCCTTAGAAGTTAGCGGCCAGTGCAGGTTTGTGTTCGAGTACATTATGGAGGTGAAGGAGTTGATGAGACCAAGCAACACATTGAGGAAGGTGAGATATTAGACACGTGCGGGGCTGATAAAGTGAAGGCCCATCTTTGTAAGTCCAATGACAGACAGACTTGGAATGAAAGAAAACAAATATGATAGAATTTATAGCGGTAAATGAGTAAATTACCAGAGCTGTTCATCCCAATCAATAAGGAGGTGGACGAGAAAAGCAGAATAAACCCATGGTTCAATAGGCAAGGCTGGGACGACAAGGAAATGCAGAATAGACCCGGTAAGGAGTAGAGATGCCATAGGCACAATCAGAGAACACCGTACGGATATCAGAGCTAATCAGCTACTCAGTTCCCTCCCAACAAGCATAAGAATTATTACCGGTAAAAAAATAGAAGTGTTCAAGAGAATATCAGACGTTTTTCTGCAAAAAGTACCGGACCAACTGGGTTATAGTTGATATATGGGCCTGCGGGGCCGCTATAAGCAACAGCCCGTTGAGCCAAGTTACCACAGGTCAAGCCTGGCCCCAGGCCGGGCTTGGGGAGAAGAACTCGCAGAACCCTTCCAGGTATACTCCAGGTGAAAGGACCAAAAATAGCATGGAAAATGTACAGAGAACTTGAAACAGAGGACAAAAGAGAGGTACTAAAGAGAGGCCAGAACCGAGTACTCCCGAGTCAAGGAGGGAAGGTGAGAGAACTTTTCAAAACATTACGATAAAAGATGAGGCTCAACTAAGACACCATATAATCAGGTTGAGGAGACAAGGTTGAATTTTCACAGAAAACGTCAAGGAAGTGTGTGAGAAACTCAACACAAAATTTGAAGAGAGTTTTACACAGTAACAATGTGGAGACGACGGTTACGAGGTGACAGGTGGTCAGAAGAAACAGTGGATGACACTATAGATGAGGGGAATAACACCCGGAGGAACTAGATGCAACAAAACCAAGAGCAAGAGACTAAATACCACTATGGCTGTTGAAGGAGGAAGCTGCAAAGGTACTTTCACACACAACCCAAAAATGTCAATTAAACCCAAATTAAACGGGTGTTAGTGAGAAGTATTCCATGTAAAGTGGTGCAGCAAGTGATCACGTTCAAAATAATGAAACAACTAGACATGGTAAGGAAGCTTTGTAGTGGAGGAGCAACGTGGACTCTGAAGGGAACGGTCATGCTTCACACACCTGGTCGAGGTCTATGACAACGTTACCAAAATACAACACAAAACAGAAGCTGGGTACATTGTATTTCCCTAGAGTGTCAAAAAGTAGTGCAGCCCCTGTACTCATAAAGCACCGTGTTGTTATGGTAAGATACAGCAGGCTGGGGCTACCACCCTCGTCACCTGGACGTCACCAAACTGAGCCCGTCCTCAGAACAAATACATTACCATGAGAAACCATCACCCCCCCCCCCCTCAAACCACCAGAATAGTTATCTAGATATTTGTGATGGTCTTAAAGCGTATACTGCGGTTCAAGTAATAGTCTACATGTAGACTGGCAAGTGAACCTTTGTCCTAAACAGAGATTAATCTCGAATTATAACTTCATTGTATTATAAATCGTTGGTTTAATATACAAAAAGTATATGCTGAAAATGTTTTCATTGAAGATTTAAATTTTCTGTAAGTGGAATTCTGTGGTACAGTGAACTAGTTTTCGAATTTCATATTTAACATTATCGTCAATAAGACCCTGTATTAAGATAGTGTGTCATGTAGAGACTGTCACATACATTAACATGTTAATAATTGTGTGTGTGTGGCGACAGGACCGATAGCGGGGATGCTGGTGAACAAGATGGGGTGTCGGGTGGTGACGGTGGCGGGGGCCCTCCTCGCCTCCCTCGCCCTCTTCCTCTCCATCTTCGCTCCCAACGTCGAGACCCTCTACGTCACCATCGGCCTCGGCGCAGGTGAGCTGCCTTCTCCTGGCACGGTGCACCGGTACTCCAAGTACTGTACCGTCTCCTGGCACGGTGCACCAGTACTCCAAGTACTGTACCGTCTCCTAGTTGGAGTACCTTCTCCTAGTTGGAGTACCTTCTCCTAGTTGGAGTACCTTCTCCTAGTTGGAGTACCTTCTCCTAGTTGGAGTACCTTCTCCTAGTTGGAGTACCTTCTCCTAGTTGGAGTACCTTCTCCTAGTTGGAGTACCTTCTCCAAGTGACGCTCGGCTCAGGTAAGTCCAGCCAGGTGAGGCTCTGGTCAGGTAAGTCCAGCCAAGTGAGGCTCTGGTCAGGTAAGTCCTGCCAGGTGAGGCTCTGGTCAGGTAAGTCCTGCCAGGTGAGGCTCTGGTCAGGTAAGTCCAGCCAGGTGAGGGCCTGGTCAGGTAAGTCCAGCCAAGTGAGGCTCTGGTCAGGTAAGTCCAGCCAGGTGAGGGCCTGGTCAGGTAAGTCCAGCCAAGTGAGGCTCTGGTCAGGTAAGTCCAGCCAGGTGAGGCTCTGGTCAGGTAAGTCCAGCCAGGTGAGGTTCAGGTCAGGTAAGTCCAGCCAGGTGAGGCTCTGGTCAGGTAAGTCCAGCCAGGTGAGGCTCTGGTCAGGTAAGTCCAGCCAGGTGAGGTTCAGGTCAGGTAAGTCCAGCCAGGTGAGGCTCTGGTCAGGTAAGTCCAGCCAGGTGAGGTTCAGGTCAGGTAAGTCCAGCCAGGTGAGGCTCTGGTCAGGTAAGTCCAGCCAGGTGAGGCTCTGGTCAGGTAAGTCCAGCCAGGTGAGGTTCAGGTCAGGTAAGTCCAGCCAGGTGAGGCTCTGGTCAGGTAAGACCTGGGCTCCCCAGTAACTGGTGATAGACACGGGCTCCTCAGTAACAGGTGATAGACACGGGCTCCCCAGTAACTGGTGATAGACACGGGCTCCCCAGTAACAGGTGATAGACACGGGCTCCCAGTAACAGGTGATAGACACGGGCTCCTCAGTAACTGGTGATAGACACGGGCTCCCCAGTAACAGGTGATAGACACGGGCTCCTCAGTAACTGGTGATAGACACGGGCTCCTCAGTAACAGGTGACAGACACGGGCTCCCCAGTAACTGGTGATAGACACGGGCTCCCCAGTAACAGGTGATAGACACGGGCTCCCAGTAACAGGTGATAGACACGGGCTCCTCAGTAACTGGTGATAGACACGGGCTCCCCAGTAACAGGTGATAGACACGGGCTCCCAGTAACAGGTGATAGACACGGGCTCCCCAGTAACAGGTGATAGACACGGGCTCCCCAGTAACTGGTGATAGACACGGGCTCCCCAGTAACTGGTGATAGACACGGGCTCCCCAGTAACAGGTGATAGACACGGGCTCCCAGTAACAGGTGATAGACACGGGTTCCTCAGTAACTGGTGATAGACACGGGCTCCCCAGTAACAGGTGATAGACACGGGCTCCCCAGTAACAGGTGATAGACACGGGCTCCTCAGTAACAGGTGATAGACACGGGCTCCCCAGTAACTGGTGATAGACACGGGCTCCCCAGTAACTGGTGATAGACACGGGCTCCTCAGTAACTGGTGATAGACACGGGCTCCTCAGTAACTGGTGATAGACACGGGCTCCTCAGTAACTGGTGATAGACATGGGCTCCTCAGTAACTGGTGATAGACACGGGCTCCTCAGTAACTGGTGATAGACACGGGCTCCCCAGTAACAGGTGATAGACACGGGCTCCTCAGTAACTGGTGATAGACACGGGCTCCTCAGTAACTGGTGATAGACACGGGCTCCTCAGTAACTGGTGATAGACACGGGCTCCTCAGTAACTGGTGATAGACACGGGCTCCTCAGTAACAGGTGATAGACACGGGCTCCTCAGTAACAGGTGATAGACACGGGCTCCCCAGTAACAGGTGATAGACACGGGCTCCTCAGTAACAGGTGATAGACACGGGCTCCTCAGTAACAGGTGATAGACACGGGCTTCCCAGTAACTGGTGATAGACACGGGCTCCTCAGTAACAGGTGATAGACACGGGCTCCTCAGTAACTGGTGATAGACACGGGCTCCTCAGTAACAGGTGATAGACACGGGCTTCCCAGTAACTGGTGATAGACACGGGCTCCTCAGTAACAGGTGATAGACACGGGCTTCCCAGTAACTGGTGATAGACACGGGCTCCTCAGTAACTGGTGATAGACACGGGCTCCTCAGTAACTGGTGATAGACACGGGCTTCCCAGTAACTGGTGATAGACACGGGCTCCTCAGTAACAGGTGATAGACACGGGCTCCCCAGTAACTGGTGATAGACACGGGCTCCCCAGTAACTGGTGATAGACACGGGCTCCTCAGTAACAGGTGATAGACACGGGCTCCCCAGTAACAGGTGATAGACACGGGCTCCTCAGTAACAGGTGATAGACACGGGCTCCTCAGTAACAGGTGATAGACACGGGCTCCCCAGTAACTGGTGATAGACACGGGCTCCTCAGTAACAGGTGATAGACACCGGCTCCCCCAGTAACAGGTGATAGACACGGGCTCCTCAGTAACAGGTGATAGACACGGGCTCCCAGTAACAGGTGATAGACACGGGCTCCCCAGTAACTGGTGATAGACACGGGCTCCCCAGTAACTGGTGATAGACACGGGCTCCTCAGTAACAGGTGATAGACACCGGCTCCCCCAGTAACAGGTGATAGACACGGGCTCCTCAGTAACTGGTGATAGACACGGGCTCCCCAGTAACTGGTGATAGACACGGGCTCCTCAGTAACAGGTGATAGACACCGGCTCCCCCAGTAACAGGTGATAGACACGGGCTCCTCAGTAACAGGTGATATACACGGGCTCCCAGTAACAGGTGATAGACACGGGCTCCCCAGTAACTGGTGATAGACACGGGCTCCCCAGTAACTGGTGATAGACACGGGCTCCTCAGTAACAGGTGATAGACACCGGCTCCCCCAGTAACAGGTGATAGACACGGGCTCCTCAGTAACAGGTGATAGACACGGGCTCCCCAGTAACAGGTGATAGACATGGGCTCCCAGTAACTGGTGATAGACACGGGCTCCCCAGTAACTGGTGATAGACACGGGTTCCTCAGTAACAGGTGATAGACACGGGCTCCCCAGTAACAGGTGATAGACACGGGCTCCTCAGTAACTGGTGATAGACACGGGCTCCTCAGTAACAGGTGATAGACACGGGCTCCCCAGTAACAGGTGATAGACACGGGCTCCTCAGTAACAGGTGATAGACACGGGCTCCTCAGTAACAGGTGATAGACACGGGCTCCCCAGTAACTGGTGATAGACACGGGCTCCTCAGTAACAGGTGATAGACACGGGCTCCTCAGTAACTGGTGATAGACACGGGTTCCTCAGTAACTGGTGATAGACACGGGTTCCTCAGTAACTGGTGATAGACACGGGCTCCTCAGTAACTGGTGATAGACACGGGCTCCTCAGTAACAGGTGATAGACACGGGCTCCTCAGTAACTGGTGATAGACACGGGCTCCCCAGTAACTGGTGATAGACACGGGCTCCTCAGTAACTGGTGATAGACACGGGCTCCTCAGTAACAGGTGATAGACACGGGCTCCCAGTAACTGGTGATAGACACGGGTTCCTCAGTAACTGGTGATAGACACGGGCTCCTCAGTAACAGGTGATAGACACGGGCTCCCCAGTAACTGGTGATAGACACGGGCTCCTCAGTAACAGGTGATAGACACGGGCTCCCCAGTAACAGGTGATAGACACGGGCTCCCCAGTAACAGGTGATAGACACGGGCTCCTCAGTAACTGGTGATAGACACGGGCTCCTCAGTAACAGGTGATAGACACGGGCTCCTCAGTAACAGGTGATAGACACGGGCTCCTCAGTAACAGGTGATAGACATGGGCTCCCCAGTAACTGGTGATAGACACGGGCTCCCAGTAACAGGTGATAGACAAAGGCTCCCAGTAACTGGTGATAGACACGGGCTCCTCAGTAACAGGTGATAGACATGGGCTCCTCAGTAACAGGTGATAGACACGGGCTCCCCAGTAACAGGTGATAGACACGGGCTCCTCAGTAACAGGTGATAGACACGGGCTCCCCAGTAACAGGTGATAGACACGGGCTCCCCAGTAACAGGTGATAGACACGGGCTCCTCAGTAACCGGTGATAGACACGGGCTCCCCAGTAACAGGTGATAGACACGGGCTCCCCAGTAACAGGTGATAGACACGGGCTCCCCAGTAACAGGTGATAGACACGGGCTCCTCAGTAACAGGTGATAGACACGGGCTCCTCAGTAACAGGTGATAGACACGGGCTCCTCAGTAACCGGTGATAGACACGGGCTCCCCAGTAACCAGTGATAGACACGGGCTCCCCAGTAACCGGTGATAGACACGGGCTCCCCAGTAACCAGTGATAGACACGGGCTTCCCAGTAACTGGATTGGTGACTCGAGGAACAGTTTCTTCATTAACTAATAAGACCTTGATTAACCGCAGAGTATTCATTGCCTGTGGATTATATTGCCATACTGGAATAATGTATGATGAAGCAGCACTGTATACTGTAAACTACACAAATGAGAGGTTATAATATGATGTGATGACCCACAGGTCTAGGGTTTGGCCTCATCTACTTGCCGGCCATCGTCTGCGTCACCGGCTACTTCGAGAAGAGACGTTCCTTCGCGACGGGCATCGCCGTCTGTGGCTCTGGCATTGGTACCTTCGCCTTCTCCCCATTGGTCGAGTACCTGGTGAGTTACAAGAGTACCTGGTGGAGTACCTGGTGAGTTAAAAGAGTACCTGGTGAGTTACAAGAGTACCTAGTGGAGTACTTGCTGAGTTACTGGTGTTCCAGTGGAGTACCTGGTGAGTTACAAGAGTACCTGGTGGAGTACTTGCTGAGTTACTGATGTCTCAGTGGAGTACCTGGTGAGTTACAAGAGTACCTGGTGGAGTACTTGCTGAGTTACTGATGTCTCAGTGGAGTACCTGGTGAGTTACAAGAGTACCTGGTGGAGTACTTGCTGAGTTACTGATGTCTCAGTGGAGTACCTGGTGAGTTACAAGAGTACCTGGTGGAGTACTTGCTGAGTTACTGATGTCTCAGTGGAGTACCTGGTGAGTTACAAGAAATCAAATCAAATAAAATCAAATGTTTATTCAGGTAAGGTACATACATACAAGGTAAGATACAAAAGTTGATGGATTTATAGATAGAGCTAGTACATACAATGCCTAAAGCCACTATTACGCAAAGCGTTTCGGGCAGGAAAAACACTAAGACTAAAACTTAATACTAATTGAGATTAAAGTATAAATTGAGTTGAGAAAATAAAAGAATAAAAAAAGGAGGGAAACATAGCAGAAAAAAGCAAAATATACAATTTGGTCAACAAAACAGCATTGTTTAAAATAGTAGACATGGGTTGACATTTTAGGGGTGAGGTAGGTTACATGGAATTAATTAGGTAGTACTTAGTTTTTATCTTAAACTGGTTGGGAGAGGTACAGTCTTTAACATGATTGGGAAGGTCATTCCACATTCTGGGTCCCTTGATTTGTAGAGCATTTCAAGTTTGATTAAGTCGTACTCTTGGAATATCAAATAGGTATTTGTTTCTGGTGTGGTGCTCATGGGTTCTGTTACAACCTTCTAGGAAGCTTTTAAGGTCAGGATTGACATTACAGTTCAGAGTTTTATATATATATATAATACACATGAGAGAATGTGCAGTGACTTAATATCTAACATATTCAGAGACTTGAGAAGGGGTACCGAGTGATGTCTGGGGCCAGAGTGGGATATTGTCCTAATAGCAGCTTTGTGTTGAGTAATTAGAGGATGTAAATGATTTTGGGTAGTAGAACCCCAAGCACAAATACCATAGTTGAGATAAGGATAGATGAGGGAGTAATAGAGAGTCACCAGGGCAGGGCGGGGTACATAATATCTGATCTTAGAAAGAATGCCAACAGTTTTTGAAACTTTTTTTGCTATATTTAGAATGTGTCCCTGGAAATTCAGCTTGTGGTCAATGAGAACACCATGGAATGTGCCATCTACTTTGTTGAAGGTCATTAATGCAGATGAGAAAGAGGAGAGGGCTGAGTATGCTGCCATGAGGAACACCAATGTTGATGGGTAGGGCGGGAGATATTGAATTATTCACAGAAACATATACTAAAGCCTGTCAGTAAGGTAAGGCTTAAGGAATTGCAGGGAGTGACCTTTGACTCCATAATGATGTAATTTAAGAAGAAGGTTTGGTGGTTGACAGTGTCAAAAGCCTTACGCAGGTCCACAAATAACCCAACAGGGAACTCATTTTTATCAAGAGCTACATGAATCAAGAGTCCCAGTGGAGTACCTGGTGAGTTACTGGTGTCCCAGTGGAGTACCTGGTGAGTTACAAGAGTCCCAGTGGAGTACCTGGTGAGTTACAAGAGTCCCAGTGGAGTACCTGGTGAGTTACAAGAGTCCCAGTGGAGTACCTGGTGAGTTACAGGAGCCATAGTGGAGTAGCTGGTGTCAAAGACATGTGTCTTTGTGAATCCCTCTCATCTATCCACGTATCAATCCACATATCCATGTATCTATCTACCTATTATCCATCTGTTTAATATTGGTCTGTTTCTGTCTCTGTCTGTATCTCTGAGTTTGTCTCTCTGTCTCTATATCTCTGTCTTTGCTTGTTTGTCTCTCTATCTCTCTCTTTCTTTTATAAAATAAGTAATTGTGTAATGTGTGGGTGGTCACCAGTGAGAGGAGCTTAGTGGTGCGACATAAGAAAAAGAACAGTAACCCCCTAGCTTACTCTGATATATAACTGTGGCTTGAGGAACCTTTGAAGCTGTGGAAGAATCGTCTGATTTATGGGAGTGCAAGCAACTTATCAATAGCAGGAAATTTATGTTAATTTTCAAGAGATCAGTGAATAGTGATGCATATTATTATAAGGAAAAAATATTTTTTCAAAAGTTAGTTTTGGAAATATTTAGCTGTGTAGCTGGCAGGGAGTGCCAAAAATCTTTGTGGGGGTCTGAATGTGGCTCCTGGCATGCTGTTTCCTTTTGAATTCTGGGAATTCTGAGCAGCCTATGTTCATCCTGTACCCCAGACCATTCACTCTTCCAATTTGGGTGAGCCTAGCTCCAAGTCCCTGGCCTCCATCTTTGAACAGACAAAACAAACACAGATATTCTCTCTTATAGTATAGATATAGAGGGGGGAACCCAGCAGTGCCTGGGTCTGTGTTTGGCTCCCCCCCCCCCCTTCCCCCTCTTCCCACTCTACTCTCCTTTCCTCTGTTATCACCTTCCCTGTTCCCCCCTCTCCATCCCTTCACTCTACTTACTCTCCCTCCTCCCACCTCTCTACCCCACATTTTTCCCCATTTCCCCTCCCATTCCTCTTCCCTCATTTTATCCCCCTCCCACTCCTCTTCATCCCCCTCATCATTCTTTCTCCACTCATCATCCCCGTGTCTCACCTTGTGCCTCATCTTACATTTTGACCTCTGTCTCTGTTCATCATTTTTGGTATAACTCATGAAAATGCACGATGAACTCTATGGAGAATACATCTGCGTTTTCATTTCAGACTTCATGAAAATCACGCATTAGTGTTGGATTATAGGCTGATATTTTTTAAATTATTGAACTTAGGCCTACCCCGAACAACTTGTGTCTGCCCCACTGTCTCATTCCCTAGACCATCCCCCCCCCCCCTCCCTGCAAATTTGGGTGAAGCTAGCCCCAAGAATCTGGCTTCCATCTTTGGACAGAGAGACAAATAGACAGAGACATTCTTTAGTAAAGGTATAGATGATATACTGCAGCATTCTAACTTTAGAGTAGCTGCACTTTTTCACTTTGAAACCAAAACAAGGCTCTATAGTACTTTAAAATGCTACTTGACAAACCTTATCAAACAGTGTCGATTAAGTAAAAGTCAAAGACCATTCTCATCGACTTAAGAATGGTCCAGAACGGACTGAAACGTTGTCGTCCCTTCACTTTCTAGTATGTGGTTTGGTCAACATATTTCAGCCACGTTATTGTGACTCCTCATCTGCATCAAACAAATTTAATTAATGTTTAATGTGAACTAAAAATAAAATTAATTGTAGTCGTGTAGGTTTTGTCTCACGTTCAAAGAAGAACAGATTGTTGTTTTGAGTTAAAAGATAAATATATTGCTGACTTGTAGGTTTAAGTAATTATACCTTAATTAAAATGACTCCAAGTTGCATCACATAACTCTGTGCATGGTAGACTTGTGAGGAATTCCCGAGTGTGTTTGTTATATCATACCATGCTAAACATTAAAGGTGACAGCAAGATATTCCTAGTGAGGTGCAACTTGTGTCTTGTGCTAGGACTCAGGTCTCCAAGGTCAACCATGTGGATTTCTCTATCTTATGTTAATACTTAACATAACCAGCATACACCCACTGTTGGTTGAAAGTGAAGAATGTGACTTGCTAAACAGTATGATTTTGCTGCTGTACCTAACTCCAACTAATTTCTCAGATGTTACTTATATAATCCTCTCACTTAAAACTAATTAAATCACTTGAACACCGAATCTTCCCTGATATTCTAAAAGAATGTCCATTAAAGTGGTAATCTTAATGAAATTGACAATTTTAGATGAGTATCAATTCTTACCACCTTATCTTGAGGTTATCTTGAGATAATTTCGGGGCTTTAGTGTCCCCGCGGCCCGGTCCTCGACCAGGCCTCCACCCCCAGGAAGCAGCCCGTGACAGCTGACTAACACCCAGGTACCTATTTACTGCTAGGTAACAGGGGCATTCAGGGTGAAAGAAACTTTGCCCATTTGTTTCTGCCTCGTGCGGGAATCGAACCCGTGCCACAGAATTACGAGTCCTGCGCGCTATCCACCAGGCTATGAGGCCCCTAGACCTTGTCTAAATTATTTGGATACCTAATGTACAAGAGGCTCTACTCCTATCTAGCAAAACATAGTACACTTAGCTCTTGCCAATATGGCTTCAGACCCCCAATAAAGCACCTATGATGCACTAATTAGTGTGCTCAACTTGAAACGTGCAGCTTTTGACAAAAATGAATACGAGTAGATTTACAGTATTTGTTTACCTATATAAGGATTTTGACACCATTAACCACAATTGCATTCTTCTTAAACTGCAACACTACAGAGGTCAACACCTCTAGCCAGTTCTGCTGGGTGACGGCACAGCCTTCATTTTCTCCAATTCTAATCATCTTATTCTAAATGACACAGTGAATACTGAACTAGAAATGTCCATCTTTGGCTAACTACTAACAAATTCAGCCTTAACATTGATAAAACCTATATTTAGTTTGGTAATATGTCCACTGATCAAATTTACTTATGAATTAACAACACCCAATATGAACAGAGCATATGGGAAATTCCTCCATGTTCTCATTGATAACAAGTTGAATTTCAAGTCCCATACATGGTACTAAATATAACAAAAAAAGTTTTTAAAACAGTACGCATTCTTGCTATAATCGGTTACTTTGTACCTCGCCCTGCCCTGGTATCACTTTATTGCTCTCTCATCTATCCTTATCTCACATACGGTATCTGTGCCGTGGGTTCTACTACCCATAGTTATCTACGACCTCTTATTACTCAACACAAATCACTAGTTAAAACAATAACAAACTCAAGTCCCTTAATTAATTCTTTGAATATGTTAAATAATAAGTCACTACACATCCTCTTAAGTGTACTGTAATCTGTATATATAAAACTCTGAACTGCAATTTTAATTCTGACCTTAAGCACTTCCTAGACAGAACAGAACAGAACAGAACTTCCTGTAACAGAACCCATGGGCACTACATGAGAAATACATATCTTTCTGGGGGAGCCTCCGGGTCTCACCCAGAAAATGGCGTTTCATTACATTCAACGCTGTTTTTTTTTTTATTCAAAGCATGCAACTTAAACCAGAAATGCTTTGCAAATCAAGGGTCCCAAACTGTGGAATGACCTTCCTAATCACATTAAAGACTGTTCTTCTCTCAACCAGTTTAAAAAAAAGAGACACTAAGAACTACCTAATTACTTCTATGTAACCAAGTTTACTTCATAAATGGCAATCTGTGTTTTTTAAGGTTATTGAACATTAATAATTGAATCTGTACTGTTACTGATAGCTGCCATATAAACATTTAATATTAAATTGTAAACCCTCTTTTTATTCTCTTCAGTTTATAATTTATACTTACTGTTGTTCTGCTGCAAAATTTGCATTTCCATTTATCACATAAATAATGTAAATGTTTTGAATTCTCTTCTTCATTTTTTAAATGTGTCTGATATTTAACTTTAAGAGTTATCCATTAAGCTTGTACAGTATGTTGTTCATCAAATTCTTGTTCCACATTGTCTGGAATGCTCTGCATTTTAATGGCTTTAGGCATTGTACTTGTCTTACCTAGGAATCCTCCACTGTTCTTGTAACTTATGTATGTACTTTTTGCCTAAATAAAAGCAGGTTTTGAGCAAGTATAATGTGTTGGGAGCAGAGGTTGTGGATGCTGTCTCCATTTATAGCTCCAAAAGCAAAAACATCAGAGCACCATAACAGTGGCACCACATACAATAGTTGTGTGGCAGGGCACAAGAGCACCAGGTACAATCTTGCTCTCTGTTGGCACAGTTGGGTAAGTACATAACGGATAGCCTATGATATATAGATGCTTTCCCCCATTGTATCATGTGTTTGTATTATCTTGCAGATAAATGAGCTCAGCTGGCAGAACTCTCTGATTATCATCTCAGGGATCATGCTAAATTGTGTAGTGTTTGGTGCAATGTTCAGGCCACTCGAGGACAACATTATACTCCAGAGAGATGACCTTGACATCGAGGATCCAACTACCCCTGAGTTCCTACCCCTTAGTGACTTGCCAATAATAAAGGTAAGACTTTTTGTTGAAAGTTTAACCAGAAATATTGCAAGTGAAGTTTGACACTTTCAAACATTACTTGTTTGTTCCTTCAGCCTTCTTAAGCTGGGGTATTCACTGTACTGTAGTCCTGGAGGATCAGCCATTTCCTCTAAGTTTAGTTATTAGCCCACTGAAGGCAATTGAGATATTAACAGCTACTGGTGATGATTTGTGAAACTTACAAAACCATCTCTACAAAGTGTACTCACATGTCATCATCTAGAAGTGATGTATGCCCAATAGGAATAAAACTGTTGGTCTGCCAATTTGTATCTAGATAAAGGTATCTCGATAATGCCTACTTGTAATAACCCCTTAGGCTGCAATGTCAGTAATACAGTACAGTAATACATTTTATTTGTGGAAATTCAACTCTGTAGAGATCGTAATATTACGTTTTGCCACATTGTGGGCATCAGATAGCAGTCAGCTTCTGAAGAATTACTTCTGCCATCAATGGATAACTATAAAGCTCAAATGAACTACAGTTGCCAACATAGTATTCACAGACCTTCTATTCACACATACAGTGGCACCTCTCAAATCCAGACCTCCTTATAACGGATCCCTCAAAAGAAAGGACCAAATTCGGGCTACCGAAGCTCCATTCCAAATATCGGGTTTGTTGGAAAATTCCAGGTTCCGGAGGATTTGTAAAATCCAGATCATTAGGTAAAGTAATATCCTGTAGATCATATTTTTCCCAATTTTATGTATTCTTGTTTTTTTTTTATTATTCAGTGAAGATCAGAGTTTAGGTCAGTGGAAATGCCAGAAATTTTATTCTGAAAATGATTATGAAGCCATATCTCCTAAATTATTAATTGGCAGAGATTCTGAAGATGTTTCATTCTTAAAAACATTGATCATAAACAGTCTTGAGCATAGGAAAACGTGAATGAACCTGGTTTGAGAAAGATTATATGGCTAATTTACATTTTTAGAGTGAAGAGTTCTTAATATTGGCAAGTACAGCTACTGAATTTCTTTAAATACTACTTATATAAGGATAATAAAAAATGTAATTGAATATCTTGACCCAAAAAACTGTTTGAGATGAAAGCCAATATTGGAAGAGCCAATATGACTGGTTTTTATTTTGGAAGCCTGGCAAGTCTCTAAGTTTTATTCAATGGAGTTTTGAATTTGGCTCGGTAGAAGTGCCAGAAATGTTACTGTATTCTGAAAATGCTTATGAAAATATAATTTCCCTTATTATTTACTGGAATGAATTCCCAAGGTTTTTTGTAGAAAATGTGTGCTAAACAAAGTTTTGGGCATAGGAAAGTTGATGGGCTTGGTTCATTTATGCTATGTTGGGGGTCATGGCCCTACCTGTGAAAAGAAATTTACAAATCTCTGACGTATCACCCACATTATCCAAGCATGAAGACCTCACCATCAAAAGGACACACATGATTTAGACAAATTTCAACACAGAGCAATAAAAATTATCCCACAACTAAGTCAATTCTCATTCCAAGAAAGGTTGAGGGCCTCAGGTCTAATAACACTACAGTACAAACTGGACAAAACAAGGCTGATCGCACAGAAACCTTTAATATACTGAACAAATTGGAAGATATTAATCCAGACCACTTTAAAAGGACCAATGTTGTTTTGCAGGAAACAACAGCTTAACGTTCAACAAGCCACAATGTAGGACAAATAACACGAAAGAGTTTTTCACCAATAGAAAAATATATCCATGGAATTACCTACCCACCAAAGTCATAAATGCCAAAACAATATTCCAGTTCAAAATTCAACTGGAAAAGGTCCTCGGAATAATGCAGGGATCTTTGTCAAGTTGCTGGCAGCTTGCTGTCCCCCATTGAGTCCACTAGAGATGGTAGCTGTCAACTAAATTTAGGTAAAATGCTGGCAATAAAGGTGAAATCTCTTGTAGCCAGAGTTTGGTAGATGACTATCATATGATAGGTTGAAATTTAAATTTAACTCTAGGAAAATTTGTCTATCAAGCATGAAAAAAATTTGGGTGTTTCTCATTAACGGGAACAGGAATCCTGTTGGGGTTATTGAGGTCCCCCCTAGACTAACTAATGACCTTAAGGATGTAACCCACAACAGTTGTCAAACTCTTGGGTGTATATATATATATATATATATATATATACTGCTAGGTGAACAGAAGCATAAAGTGAAAGAAACTGTGCCTGAAGGTTTCTGTCCTGTTGTAGGAATCTATCCTGGAAGGTTTCAGTTGTGACATGACCATGTTCACCACTGTGCTCTATTATTACTATGATTGCATAGCAATGATATTCATAGAAATTGTTGGTGCCTTGGGAAAGTTATTGAGTACATTAAATACAACATTAAAATTCTATAGGGCATTTTCATTTTGAGTTGGTGCAGTTTTTTCTTTACCCAAGAATGGGCCCAGCTAACTTTGAAAATGAAGTTTCACAACTGGCACACAGGGCCATCCCTGCAAACACACAATGTAACTGTCCCTATTATCCACTGGTTACAACTTGTTATAAATTTTTTTATGACATATTAGAATGTGGTTACAACTTGCTATATTGGTTGTTACAACTCGTTAGGTGTTAAAACTTGTTGGAACGTTGTAACAATGTCGTAGTTTGGTCATGTGTTTGGCGGGATGTGCTTTCTGGATGCCACTTATCTAGATAGGCCTGTTTCCTATTTTGGGTTTGTCCTTATAAAAAAGTCAGATAAACCAGTGCAGAGAGAGGTCTGAATAAAATGGTCCAATAAAGTCGTGAGGTGGGCACTCCGAATAAAAATGTACAAAAAAGTCGTGAGACGAGTGCTTGTCAGGCCTCGCTGCCTGGGGATGGTGGAGGGTGCATGGGAGAGAGATGGGCCTTGTTTGTGCAGTAACAGACCATGTCGGGTGCCACTCTAGTGCCTTCTACTCTGTGATGTCACAGATTCACAGCACATTATTTTGATGTGTCAGAGACTAGAGTGTTCATTCTTAGATTTTGTTGGATGTATTGTCATAAATTTAGGAACATCTGTGCACCATGTCGGCTCCAAATGCAGCCATTGTATCAGTGAAAGCTTCAACAAGCAGTATATGTAAAATAAAGAGGTCAGTAATGACATTTGAGAAGAAAGTTGAAATAATTAAGAAGACAAACAATGGAATCCCTAGAATCCTGAGAAGTGCTGTGTGTTCGAATATGTCATTAGGAAAAGTATGCTTTCTGATATTAAGGCTGAAGCTACCATCTTTGACAATTTTTCTAGAAGTGAAAGTAATAAAGCAATACATTTTTTTTTTTTTTTTTTTTTTTTTTTTGAGATATATACAAGAGTTGTTACATTCTTGTACAGCCACTAGTACGCGTAGCGTTTCGGGCAGGTCCCTGGAATAAGATCCCCTGCCGCGAAGAATCGTTTTTTCATCCAAGTACACATTTTACTGTTGCGTTAAACAGAGGCTACAGTTAAGGATTTGCGCCCAGTAAATCCTCCCCGGCCAGGATACGAACCCATGACATAGCGCTCGCGGAACGCCAGGCGAGTGTCTTACCACTACACCACGGAGACTGCTGATACATAATAGAAAGACAGTAAGTAAAGTAAAAGTAGAGAGTGTTGATGATGCAGTGTGGCAGTGGTACAAACAGAAGTGTGAGGAGATAAAAAAACCAGTGGTGGGCTAGATGCTCATGGAAAAAAACCACACAAGTTTCACCAGTCTATGAAAATTCCTGAGCAGTATTTATACACTGATGGATGGTTGGGAGGCTTTAAACTCCACAGTGGCATTAGGTACATTAGAGTACAGGGTGAAAAGCTGTCTGCTGATGCTGCTGGTGCAGAAAAGTAAGTAAATTTGTGGAGATGGTGTAGGAACAAAATTTATCTCCAGAGTAAATTTATAATGCGCCAGCACAAACCTGTCTCGATGGCATGTTACCCACAAAGACAATGGCTCATAGAGATGACAATGATCCTTCAGCTGGTTATAAGCCGAACAAACAGACAATTTGTGTGTTGTGCTGTGCTAATGCAGCTGACACGCACACAAACTGAAATTACTTGTGATTAAGATTAGCAAAAACCCCAGGGCTTAAAAGTTAACTAGGTGCCTTCCTGTGATTTATAAGAGGCAGTCAAGTGGATGGATGTCTTGTGTAATATTTGTCGAGTGGTTAAGTAAGAAATTTGTATTTGTGGTGAAGGAGTACCTTAAAAGTGTTAGCCTCCCACAAAACAGCAAAGTTGTGCTGTTGCTAGATAATAGTACAGCACATCCACGAAGTGATGAGCTAATAACTGGCCATATGATTGGTATGTTCTTACCACCCAGTACAGCTTCACTGATCCAACCCACTGATCAAAGAACCTTAAGGGTTAAGCACCACTATAAGAGGACAGTTGTCAGATGGCTCAATAATCAGCCAGGAACAGTTAAGGACTTTTTTAAAGTTTACAAAATAAAGTTAGCTATCTGGACTGTCACTAGTGCATGGGATGAAGTAAAGCTAACAGCACTAAGAAATAGTTAGAGAAAACTTTGGCCTGCATCAGGTCTGTTTCCCGAGGAAGGTAACAGGACAATTTTTGAAGGATTTGGGGCCAAGAAAGTTAGCGAGAAGAAATAATTGCCGAGCACTAAACGATGACATAGATAATCGAATAGATTATGACGAAGAAGCTCAACCTTTCAAAACATAACCGATGAAGAAATTATAGATTTAGTTACACTAAAATAGGCATAGGAGTGTAATGAAGATGATGGTGAAGAAGAGGATGATGGTGAGAAAGAGGATGAGGAAGTGTTAAAGGAAAAAGGTAACATGGAAAGAGTTCAGCAATATTTTGAAAGCATTCTTGCATTTATGGAAACAAGTAACAGTGAGTTTAAACCTGAGGACATGATGAACCAGTACAATTTGTAGATGAAGCTTTTTCAAACAAGAGTCAAGGGAATGGAACAAATTTCAATTGAAGAATTTTTTGCAAAGGCTTCCAAGAAAGCTGACATTGAACCACCTGCACGTGACTCATCACATGTTGATCCAAACACTTCAACATATGAGAATACATCATCACCATTAATCTCCACTTCAGTCAACCCAACACCATCAATATCCACCACCACATCTTCCATCTACCTAACAATGCTCAAGCAACAATAATAATAAGTTATCAATAACAACAATAATACGGTATCAAGCAAATCAGGACTTCTCATATTGGTGGGTACAAACAAAATACTGTTGAATTTTTGCTATAAAATTGTCAAAATTTTCCCTATATTTTCAGGATGATGAACAACTTTTACGGACATAACAGGTTATTCATTTAGTCTCGGTTCCAAGGGGTCCAGAAAGCACTTGGCCTTCTGTACAGGAGAAATAAGCCACACATGTAGCGAAATCTCTTTAGATGTCCAACTCTCGCACCTTCCTACCTCCTTCCCTCACCTTCTCATTTTCTCTCACTTCTTCAAATTTTTCTCTCATCTAATTTTCTCTCTTTTTTTTTTTTACTAAGATTATTGTTCATAAGGGATGTCAAATGATGTACTGTACCTAGTGAAACTGCAAGCAAGAGCTGTTATAATACCTGAGCTCATCTGAAGCCTGCTCTTAGAAACTCATATATTTCATGAGAATGTATTTTGAAACTAACTCACTCACTCACTCTCTTACAAACCTCATCCTGGAAACATTTGTGTTTCAACATGTTAAACAAGCTACGAGGATGAGGGAAGGGGATGTTCCCTCCATGTTGGATTTGATATTTACCAAGAAAGAGGAAGAGATATTTGACATTCAGTACCTTCTTCATTTGGGAAAAGTGACCCCATGTCTTTTTGGGAATAAAGTATGCAATGTCTTATAATCTGGAAGAAAATGAAGTTGAAACAGTTGAAAAGCCTGATTTCAGGAGAGGATATTATGGGGAACTCAGACATTTTTTAAGGAATTTGATTGGAAAGACTTGCTGTTAGGACATGAAGTAAATGAGATGTATGTCAAGTTTTGTGAAATATATGATAAAGACACAACAAAATTTATACCAAAATAGAGATGCAGGACTAGGAAACAGGATTGGTTCAACAGAAATAACTGGGAGAGGGCCAGAGACCAAAAGACACAAAAATGGAATCAATATAGGAAGAGGCCAAACCCCCAAACATACCAGAGATACAAAGATGCAAGAAACAATTACACAACATGTTGTTGTTGTTGTTTAAGATTCGCTACCTGGAACAAAAAGTTCCAGGCAGCACAGGCTATGGTGAGCCCGCTACTAAAAAACATCATCATCATCATGCCGTGTAGTTGTTTCTCGCATCTTTGTATGTAATGCATATCTTTGTATCAAGGCATATCTTAATATGCCTGTCTCACTACATGGCAGTGAGGAGGGAGGCAGGAAGAAATTTTGAAAAAGGCATAGTGGATAAATGTAAAACAGAATGAGGCCTCTTCTATAAATTCATAAACAACAAATTGCAGGTAAAGGATAATATTCAAAGGTTGAAAATGGGAAACAGATTCACAGAAAATGAAAAGAAATGTGTGAAACATTAAACGAAAAGTTCCAAAGTGTGTTTGTACAAATTGAAATCTTCAGGGAACCAGACACAATAAAAATTCCAGAGAACATAGAGCACATAGAGGTGTCTAGAGACAAAGTGGAAAGAAATGAACAAGGAGCAAAGTAAGAACAAAGCAGTTGGTCCAGATGGAGCTTCACCATGGGTTCTGAGAGAATGTGCACCTGAGCTCAGCATCCCACTTAAACTGATTTTTTAGGCATCTTTGTGTACAGGAGTCATAGCAGATGTGTGAAAAAAAGGCTAATATAGTTCCAGTCTACAAAAGTGACAACAGGGAAGACCCCCTCAGTCATAGACCTGTATCATTGACAAGTGTAATAGTCAAAAAAATTGGAACAAATAATTAAAACTAAATGGGTAGAACACCTGGGGAAAAACGATATACTAACATCAGACCGTCAGTATGGTTTCGATCTGGAAGATCCTGTGTAACAAATTTACTCGGTTTCTATGATTGAGCCACAGAGATTGTACAGGAAAGAGATGGTTGGGTTGACTGCATCTATTTGGACCTAGAAAAAGGCTTTCGACAGAGTTCCACATAAGAGGTTCCTCTGGAAACTGGGACATATTGGAGGGGTGACAGGTAAGCTTCTACCATGGATGAAAAATTTTCTGACTGGTAGAAAAATGAGGGCAGTGATCAGAGGCAATGTATCGGACTGGAGAAATGTCACAAGTGGAGTACCACAGGGTTCAATTCTTGCACCAGTGATGTTTATTGTCTACATAAATGATCTACCAGTTGGTATACAGAATTATATGAACATGTTTGCTGATGATGCTAAGATAATAGGAAGGATAAGAAACTTAGATGATTGTCATGCCCTTCAAGATGACCTGGACAAAATAAGTATATGGAGCACAATTTGGCAAATGGAATTTAATGTTAATAAATGCCATGTTATGGAATGTGGAATAGGACAACGTAGACCCCACTCAACCTATATATTATGTGAGAAATCTTCAAAGAATTCTGATAAAGAAAGAGATCTACGGGTGGTTCTAGATAGAAAACTATCACCTGAGGACCACATAAAGAATATTGTGTGCGGAGCCTATGCCACGCTTTCTAACTTCAGAATTGCTTATAAATAAATGGATGGCGATATACTAAAGAAATTGTTCACGACTTTTGTTAGGCCAAAGCTAGAATATGCAGCGGTTGTGTGGTGCCTATATCTTAAGAAGCACATCAACAAACTGGAAAAGGTGCAAAGACATGCTACTAAGTGGCTCCCAGAACTGAAGGGCAAGAGCTACGAGGAGAGGTTAGAGGCATTAAATATGCCAAAACTAGAAGACAGAAGAAAAAGAGGCGATATGATCACTACATACAAAATAGTAACAGGAATTTATAAAATTGATTGGGAAGATTTCCTGAGACCTGGAACTTTAAGAACAAGAGGTCATAGATTTAAACTAGCTAAACACAGATGCCGAAGAAATATAAGAAAATTCACTTTCGCAAACAGAGTGGTAGATGGTTGGAACAAGTTAGGTGAGAAGGTGGTGGAGGCCACACACACACACACACACACACACACACACACACACACACACACACACACACACACACACACACACACACACACACACGATGATGATGGAAGTGCTAAGAAATGCCAGGAATCTGCAGAGTGATGAGGTTGGCAAATCTTGGTCAATAAGACAAGACCTCTCCAAGGAAGACAGAGAAAAGCTGAAAATGAACTTAATTGAGGCAAAACGTCTAAATGGGGATAGAAATGAAGAAGACAGAAATTCTTTTTTTTACAAAGTGACAGGGACTGGAAAGCTTGTGAAATGGTACATAAAAACAAAGCAACAAGATCAGTAGTGGAAGGGGGAGTAAAGAGCAAAGGAAAAGGGAACATGTTTCTGAAAATTGTATATACCAACATAGATGGAGTGAGGTCAAAAACTTTGGAGTTGCAAGATATAATCCAGCTTAGGGTCCCAGATATTGTTGCATTATCAGAAACGAAACTTGAAGGAAATATAATAAATGAAGTCATATTCCCAAGAGGCTACTCAGTTTGGAGACGTGACAGGAAAACTAGGAAGGGAGGAGGAGTGGCTGTACTGGTGAAAAAACACCTGAAGGTAAAAGAGTTAATATTTGAAAACCCTCGAGATATTGACATAATGGCATTGCAGGTCTGGAATCAGGATGATAACCTGATAATTGTAAATACCTACAGCCCACCAGCAAGCAACACGTGGACAAAGGAAGAACTGGATGACAAACGAGAGGGCCTCATAATGGTCATGAGAGATATTATTGTACAAGCAGATAAAGATAAATCACGACTGTTGATACTGGGGGACTTCAACTTTAGAGCAATAGACTGGGAGGCCTATGAAGCAAGAACGGAGGACTTTTGGACATGCAGATTTGTGAACCTCATTCTGGAGACATTCTTGTATCAACACATAAAGCAAGCCACAAGAATGAGGGAAGGAGATATACCGTCAGTACTGGATCTAGTATTCACCAGGAAAGAAGAAGAGATTTTTGACATCCAGTACCTTCCTCCCTTGGGAAAGAGTGATCACGTCCTGTTAGACATTAAATATGCTTTAAGATATCATCTAGAAGAAAATGGGGACATTGAAACAGTTGATAAACTCGATTTAAAGAGAGGCAACTATGGGGAACTTCGAAATTTTTTTAATGAGTGTAATTGGACAGAATTGTTGCTAGGCAGGGAAGTAAATGAAATGTATGCCAAATTTTTAAAACTATACGAGGAAGGCACACAAACATTCATACCAAAACAGAGATGCAGGACCAAAAAACAGGATTGGTTCGACAGAAATTGTGAGAGGGCAAGAGACCAAAAGACACAAAAATGGAATCAGTATAGGAAGAGGCCAAACCCCCAAACATACCAGCGATACAAAGATGCGAGAAACAATTATACAGCAGTAAGGAGAGAAGCAGAAAGAAATTTTGAAAAAGGGATAGCAGATAAATGTAAAACAGAACCGGGCCTATTCTACAAATTCATAAACAACAAATTGCAGGTAAAGGATAATATCCAGAGGTTGGAAATGGGAAACAGATTCACGGAAAATGAAAAGGAAATGTGTGAAACATTAAATGAAAAGTTCCAAAGTGTGTTTGTACAAAATGAAATCTTCAGAGAACCAGACACAATAAGAATTCCAGAGAACAACATAGAGCGGATAGAGGTGTCTAGAGATGAAGTGGAAAATATGCTAAAGGAGCTCGGGAGGAACAAAGCAGCTGGCCCAGATGGCGTTTCACCATGGGTTCTGAGAGAATGTGCATCTGAGCTCAGCATTCC